AACAGAAGTTTGTACGATCTTGATTAAAACGTGTCATCTGGACGAAAGAGAACCAACGGGGCCCGTCGTCAGATGCGTCACTTCAGTCGAATTCAAGGCGGAATTCCACGCGGAACATTTTGCATCGGAAAGGTATGAGCCCTTCTATACACAGTTCAATGAAGCTATAGGTGTTCAAGCCGTCTTCTGGGACACGAAGTCAAGAAAAGTTGCAGGAAAATCGAACATGACCAGCATCATGACGTTTGTATCAATCATGGTTTCTCCCGAAACACCGATAGTTTTTACCTTTCCGTTGCCTGAGGGGTGAGTGGTATTTACCGGATTTATTTCATCATTTTTCACAATTTTAAAAATCTTTTCTTGAAAAATCAAAAGCATTTTTTTATCACATGTGCAGCCATGAGAATACCATTTGATGAACGAATGATTTTCAAGATATTTTTTATATTCTTAGATATATATACTGTTTAGAGAATTCTAAAAAATTGTATACAACTCAAGATTGTATCTTTTAAATTCTTTGATATATATCTAAGAATATTAGAAAATCATGAAATCATTAAAAAAAAGTTTAAAAATTCAATTCAGCTGGAATTTTGACGGTAATATAGAGAATCTAATTTTCAAATTCAAACTTACAAAAATCGCTGCCTACACTGAAGAAGCATTCCATTTCCAAAAACTCGAAATATTCAATCCTAAACTGTACATGCATATAATGTAGGAATTAAATAAATTTCTTACTAAGGCTTTTCTATTTCCTCTTGGAAAAATCGGCATATATGAGTGTAATTGAGAAGCGTTCAGAATTTTCTTCCTTTTTCTCTTCACCCGCCAAATGGCCGATCAATTCTAAATCTTGTATGACCATGAAAATAAATATTGGTGATTGATTCTTGTAAAAAATATTTTGGATTTTAAATGGAACGGCAGAGTGGAAAGAAAATACTTGGCAGTATCCTTGATTGACCGTAATCAGAAACATGGGAAAGTCACAAATTTTGTGAAAGTGAAGCTGCCCGAGAATTCCGTGCATAAAGTGCAAGAAGGCGGAATTGCACTTTGCATGAAGAATGTCTTTCAAGCGTTTCGAGACAACTCAATCAATTTTGCTGAGTGGATAGAAATCCAAAAGGCAATGGGATCGGAACATCTCTTCGTTCCTATTCTTGGAGATTTTCAGCATCCAAACGTTTCAAAATTGCTCAAGTAATGTCGGTCGTTGATGCAGTTGCAAAAAGAATATTTGCCAATGCGCCGACATTATTTATCGTCTGTATGCAAGGTATTATGAAAAGCAAGGAGTTCTTACTGTCCAACGGTCAAACCTGTATGGAAGAAGATCCCATCCGACGGGTGTGATTCGTTTGGGTTACCCTGCGACGAAAACCGAATCAGACATGCACAAAGTCCAGGTTGATCTCGAAAAATTGAACCTCAATACTTGCGTGCTGAATTCGATTGGAAAGTAAGTTATCAAAAAATTCGAACAATTCAAGATTATGTTCGTTCTTGCGATGAATCCCCTGGTCCTTGAACAGTTGAATTTAAAATAAAAAAAAACTTCGAATAATAAAACTTCAATTTTGTACAGGAAAATTTGCTCGGCTTACTATGAAAGTCGAGATCAATTTTATTGCTTGAAAAAACATTGTTATTCCAAGATTTTTCTTCACTATTCCTTCCAGAGAGTAAAATGAGCGAATTTTTGATATTGCCCTTTGGTGTTTTCTCGTGGGTTTCTCTGGTCAATTTTTATAAAGGAATACACAATTTCAAGAAATTGACGAAATATTATTCATGTCATACTGCCGACTTCGGCGAAGAACATATGTGAATAACCAAATAGCTGAATCCACCACCAGCACCCTTACGCTTACTGAATATGTATGCAGCTTTAGCTCATTTACAACAAATATATTCTGGAAGTAGTGTGGCTTGCAAAAATATTGTGAAAAATCTCTACAATTTGATGCAAATACAGTATATGCTTTCCTAGGCAGCAGATATTCTTTAAAATTGATCGTTTTGTGGTCATAACACATATTTCATTACCGTAATCAATGTGTATTTTCTTTTTCGTGGCTTCAGTGGTTCTATTATACCGCAATGAAATTTCATTTTTGATTTTAATCATAAAATTAGTATGAGTTCATCATGGATATGATGCTCTGACTTTTTGCAGCAAATCATTCGCATAACTAGACCTTTCTACCGTTGAATAATTCCGTGTCTGAAAAAAGCATTTTCTCATCAAGTACAAACGAGTTGTGCTATATTTGGCCAGAGAGAAAACTTTCGAAATAAAACTAATCCGTCTTTTTTTTACAGGTACAGGTTCGTGTTCGTGGTGGATAACGACGAATTTTATTCAATAAACATACCGGGGATTTTCACGTGGCAAGAAGTCCGTAAGAATGCGTTCCTCAAAGGCACTCCGAAGACAACTACGTGCTTTCCAGAATTACAAATGATTCAATCCAATGAAGCAGTTCAATTTGCTCGTGACAATCATTTGATCAAGGTTTGTTCCTCCAGTAGTTGAAAACTAGGTTTAAAATTTTCAATTAATCACCTACCGTCAGAACTGTTTATACGTCATACCTCTGACAGGAACAGCTCAAAAATTGCAACTACAGAATACAGTACTCAACAAAAGTGAGGACTCAAGTTGGAAATTTTAACTTTGAAAATTTTAAAATTCAGGATACTATCAGGAGTTCGAAGCACAATTCAATGAGTAATTAAGCTTCAAACTAATACAGTACCATGCTATTATTACAGTACTGTATCTGTAATCCATTGAATCTCTGGTTACTTTTATATTTCATAAGAAGTCAAGCAATGTCTTCATAATTTGTGAAATCCACCTACCTTCATGTCCAAAAAGTATTGATATAACAAAAAAGGAAACGGCAATAAATGATTACAATGAAATAAAATTGTGAAATTTTTTTCCTTCAACATTTTATTTCTTCGAAAATGCGTCCGAAGTCTGCTGTGTAGACTCTGCTTTAATGTCAACAATTGCAATCGAAAAAAATTAATCAATCAAAAGTGAAATGTTTCCCTTCATATACTGTCGACAAAAATTTTTGTTAATGTTTCAAGAGACACTGGCATTGCAAGAATTCAGTATGAAGTACACTAATAAAAATGCTCCAAAAATAGACATGGCACGGATTTCTCAATTGGAACATTCCTGCTATATATCGGAAGACCGCTGTTTCAAATATGAAAACTCTGAATTACAAGGGGAAACGACTTCTGAAATTATTTTTCGTGGAAGCTTTACTTTAATAATTTTATCGAATATGTTCTGATTCCATTCAAAGTTCGTTATAAAATGAAGCTATCTGCACACAGATGTTCGACAGCATCCCCAGTTACCACTACATCATTTATTTTTCGTGGAAGCTTTACTTTAATAATTTTATCGAATATGTTCTGATTCCATTCAAAGTTCGTTATAAAATGAAGCTATCTGCACACAGATGTTCGACAGCATCCCCAGTTACCACTACATCATGAGTCACATCCACGCAGTGGAAGATGCAGACGAAAGAGGCGAGCTTCCGCATAGACGGAAGTGCATTCACGATCTGAACTCCATCGTCACAGTGGAATTCCATGGCGGAAGGACTTGCTTACGTCCCGACGGCGGTTATGACATTTGCGTTCCAAGAATGATAAATGGCAGAGAGATGCAGTCATACCATTACAGATCCAAGTGCACCTCCTCGTCCGGAGATTTCGGCATCTTGTTTTTTCCATGTCAATTGAACCACGCCAAGTACAATGAGTTGTTGATACGAGACGACGCGTGGAAATATCTGCAGGTTGTGAAACCTAGGCTGAAGCGCACTTTGACCGAGTTGAAGTTGATTTGAGATTGTCTTGATTGAACTATACTCGTTATGTTCAGGTGTATCTATTCACTCAATCCGGAAAATTTAATTTTTAGTTTCCTCGTTTAAAGGAAAGCTCATGGATCACCTATTTTTGAGAAAAAGCTTCGGATTTTCTCGCGGTATTCCCCACCCTCTAAGAAAACTTTTTTTTACTGTACTGTACTGTACAGTACTCGTATGTCGAGTAAGGTGCAGTTGAGGGGAAGCACATACTACAGTTGATCCCATGGTGCTACTTATTGTATGGACGCTTTGACGATTTATTGGTGAGAAATAACATGGAAATCAGAATTCCGGTGACTGTCGAGGTGTATTTTTTTAAAATTTCTGTTCGAGTTAATACCGTAAAATTGATCTGAGGCGGTCGGTCGCTCGCACGATCGCGAGTTTAACTTTATAGAGGAGTGACATCTGGTTACAGTAGTGACGCTTGAGTTTCCTCGATGTACATCCGTAAACTAAGTGTCCATACCAATTACGCTGCATATCGATATTAGGCAATGCTCACATGCAACATTCCTCAATTGCTCAATGCAGCATTCCTTAATGTGACAAAGTCACAAAGATGAAAAAATAAATAAAAACACCTCGAAAAGACACTAAAAAAAAAAATCAACTGGCTCGAAAGTCGCGATCCTCGAAATAACTTTGAGTCAAAATTCTTCTTTTTGTTCGGATAATACAGTAACTTGAATAACACATGGAGTATTATGCTACTTGTACTGCGAATGTGACACGTATAAAATATTTCGACTTTGACTAAAGTTTTCATTGATTGAGTCGAAGAATTTTACGTTTTCCCTCCATGAGCATACGTCATCAGCGCTAGCTTTTTGTGTTCAATTTTTCTATTATTTTGCTACCTATAAGTCAATCACCTAAGAATTTTCGGTAAAAATGCGTAATATAAGATTTTTAGAATGGATTACCGCTAGCCTTTTCTTTAAATGAATTCTATGAAATCCTGTAGAATAAATAATGGCATTTGTATAAACATTCTGTGAAACTGACTCACGAAGAAAATCTGGTGAATTTTCATCCCCTGGGACATTCATATGCGACATTATTCAGTTTTCATATGCGACATTATTTCCTCACGCAGCATTGCGTTATTTTCTTTTGACATATTTCGAGAATGTGAATCGAGTTTCCAAGATTCAAAGTGAATTTTAGTTTGGACTCATATTCCGTGCGAGATTTTTGGAGAGACAGAATCTTCGTTGAAAGTGTACCAACTTTCAAATATTCAGCGGAATCCGGTAAGAAAATATATTCGGTACTGTATGCAGAATATGACTAACAGAAGCACGAGCACAAATACAATTTTTTGTGAACGTAAAATAAAGTTAAAATTTAAACATCAGACAAATTGCTCTGGATTGGTATCAGCAATGACCAAAATACGTTCTTTATTATGAACAGCACACATAATACTGTACAATCAAATTAGTAATGCAGGAAGTATTAATTTAATTTGACTTATATATATAGTGCTGGGTGTCACCACGTATGAATGCGTGGGTACGATTTAGACTGAAGCTGAAAATTCTGTTTGAAAAACGGCATCTGTTCTATCGACTGCAGTGTGGAACGATAGACAAGCAATAAACCAAGTATTTCGACGCTGAACATAACTGATCATGCAAGTTTCAATTCTACTGTATACATAATTCCTCAGACAAAAGTCAATTTCGAAGCGCTCACTCTTCCATTAGGGATTCATTACATTTATTTTCAGGGGTGAATTTTGTTTTAACCGGAAAACGTTCGCATAAATGTATATCAAATTGTTAACCTTTTTCCTCGAAAGTGGCTTCGTAAATAGACGGAAAAACTGTGTCAGCAGGATTTTGCCATGCCAATAATTTGAGGCCATATTATCTTTTTCTCTGATCGGGTTTTCATTTCTAATATTCCTCCCCAATTTGCAGGATTTCTTCAATAGACAGCTGTTTATTGCAGGTAAGAACCATCAAACCACTGGGAACCAGAATCCAAAAGCGCTGGCGCATTCAAAACTGCCGAAGCATCGCCTTTCCGATTGGACGAACTTCGTGCCGACGTTTACTGTTGTGCGCAAAAATAATAACTTTAAAAGGGGTATACAGGTTCCTGAATTTGTTCGCCCCCTTTTGTTGCCAATTCGCTGGGCTTGCGGCACGTCTTTGTAACCGGGTTCGAGTTCTATGTCGGCATTTTTGTGCAGTTTTTTGTTCCCCCAAGGGATTCACAAAATGAATCAGGAAGAACTATAAAGACTGAAGGCAGAGGAACGCATAGTGCAGTTTTTTGTTGTTTTTTCTTTTTCTTTTTTGCGCGAAGTGCAATTGTATCCCTTCATGGACAAGCGCAGACAAAACTAACCGCATTGTATCCTTGTCTCCGTTTTTCTCTATTTTCCAACCAAAAACGTGACCTTGGATGAAAGTTCTATCAGGTGATAAAATAACAGGTACAATATATGCACGAAAA